GGCTGACCGCTGGCCCCACACCTGACGAGGGAGTCCTCACCATGACGTGCCATGTGCGCTTTGTGCTCGGGCCCTCGGCGACTGCTGCGAAGTCCGTGGCGGGCCCGGGGCAGGCTGCTTGCTGAGGGGGGACCTCGCGCTTGCGCCTGGCGCCTCCCTCCGAGAAGGAGCCTCCCTCCGAGAAGGAGCCTCCCTCCGAGAAGGAGCGCCCCGCGAGAGCCCCCCTCCCGAGAAGGAGCCTCCCCTCCGCCCGCGCCTCCGTGGCGCGCTCTCCCCCCCGAACGGTGCTCGCGCGTGGGGCTGCCCGGCGCGGCTCGGCAGCTGGCCCGGGGTGGGGATGCCGAGGTCTCGCCCGGCCGGCGGACCGCCGCAGGGCGAGCCGTGGGGGGCCCTCGTGCGCTGGCCGGCCTCGTGGGCGCCCCGTGCGCTGGCCGGGTCCGCCGATGCGTGTTGCCGGTGGGCGCGCAGTGGGCCCCGGAAACGGCAGGGCCGTTTTCTCACCGTTTCCCAAAAATGTCCCTTGAAAGTGGAAACGGCAAAAAAAACGGCGACCGGACACTGCAAAAAAACGGCTCATCCAGGATTGGAGCCGGAGCCGGAACCGGTCAAAAAACAGCGACGGAACCGGTGAAAACACGGCGTCGGAATCGGCAGCTAAAAAATCGGCAAAACGGAATTAGTAACAAAAACGGCCCTGCCGTTTCCAGGGTCCACTAAGGGTGGGCGGCCGTGTGCGGCTTGTCGGCGCCCCGTGCGCCACCTCGACTGCATCGCGCAGCCAGCAGCGCTGAGCTTGCACGACGTAGCCCGCAACGCCAAGTGCGCACACCGCAGGGCTTCCGCCACGCAGCGTTCACCACAGAGCCGGCGGTACATGTGCTGCACCACCCACAGAGGGCCTGACATGGCGTGCAGCGCATGTCTTGCACGTCGAGGGAGCAAGAGCTTAACGGTTGGCCGCCACGCTGGCGAACAGCGCGCTGCTTCCCACAACCCGCTCCTCTCTTTCCCATTTCCCCCTATCCCTATCCCCCCCCCTCCCTCGTACCCCCCCGCTCCTCCCTCCCTTGTCTCCCTCCCCCCCCCAGCCACCCGCTGCCCCGGCCAGGCCTCCCAGGAGCGCCTCGCTCGGGAGCGCGAGGTCCAGGCGCTGCGCTCGAAGGCCTCGCAGGCCCAGGCGGCCCTGCAGGCCCGAGGGGGTGGGGGGGAGAGGCAGGCAGAGGCAGGGACGGGGAGAGAGAGAGTGAGAGGGAGAGCGAGAGAGAGAGAGAGAGAGCGAGAGAGCGAGAGAGAGAGAGAGAGACGTGTTATATACATTTACACATATCGATGTGTACGCACATACACACATATATATATATACATACACATAGAGACATTTATGCGCAGCCCCCCAGCACCCATTGATGTTGCTTCGTTGTTTGAGCTCTCCATTTGTACCCTTACTGATCCTCCGCTTTCGTCTTCTCATTCGTGCCTGCTCATCCGCCTTCCTCTCATCATCAGTGGACGGATGGAAGAGGGAGGGATGCAGGACGAGGATTGCTAGAAGGGGGGCTAGGAACAGAAAACACGTGGCAGAACCAGACGGGCTGATCGGGCGGGTAGACCCGCATGGGCGGGTCGGTAAGGTCGGCCCAGGCGGCCAGGTCCAGCAGGCGCGTTGCTGAAGCGTTCGTTTTGCATGAAGCGATAGCGATAGCGCGATTCCCAAGTAAATCGTGAGAACGGTCAAAGCGAGAGGGTAATTCTGGAGTGTCGAGGGCGCGGCGCCTAAATCAATTTCGAGGATATCCCACGCGAGAGCGCGATTCCTATTCATGCTGTGAGGGCGTCCTGCGCGAGAGCGTGAATTTGAACTGCGCTGTGTGGAAGTATCTGGCGGGAACCGCTGTTGTTGTTTTTCGGGGGCCTGGGGCGCCATCTGAGCCACAAGGCTTCCCCTTGGAAACAACAGGGTGCGAGCCCCTGGAAGAGAGCACGAATGGAAACACATGATGGGCACCTAGAGGGAGCTGCTTATTCTTCTGGTTTGGTGATGTTCAACACGTGCGCAAGAGGGGGAGAGACAGAAAGAGATACACAGAGATAACACGCCGAGAGGAAGAGAGAGAGAGAGAGGGAAACAAACAAACAGCGTCACATACCATAGATAGATATATATAACAAACAGAGAGGAAGACATACCGAGATAGAGAGAGAGAGAGAGTGTGTGAAACAACAAACACCACTACCACCACCAACAACCACAATCATTTTAAGACTCGTCGCTCTTATCTGCTCGAGTGTCCGTTAACGCGTATTTCCCAAACCCTCGATACCCGCCCTCTTCGTTTTCGATGGTGCCCCTGTTGGGGAGTATAACTTTCCTCCCTGCAGGCTGGGCCCGGCAAGCGGCGGGGCGGCCGCGGACCGCCGGCCTAGCCAGCGGCAGCGCCCATTCACTGGCAGCCCGACCCCAAGAGGGACGGACAGGGGAATCGGCCACGACGACGACGACGTCGGCGACGACGACGGCGACGACAACGACGACGAGCGAAAGCGAGAGCGGTCGGAGAACGACAGCAGGGCCACGAAGGACACGAAGCAGGCCACGACGGGCGACTGCGGGGAAACGAAGGGAATGCGTATGGGGCCACGAAGAGCGCAAACGGGCGGGGGCCACGAAGGGCAGATAATGCGTGGCCACAGAAGGCAACGACGGGGCCACTGAAGGTAGCAACTGGGCCGCGTAGGACAGCGAAGGGGGGCTACGAAAGGCGACCGCGGGGCCACGAAGGGCACGCACATGGGGCCACGAAGAGCGCGAACGAGCGAGGGCGACGAAGGGTATGCGTATATTGGGCCGCGGAGGGCAAGGACGGGGCCATTGAGGGCGGCAGCGGGGCCTCGAAGGACAGAGAGGGGGCCACGAAGGGCATGCATATGGCGCCACGACGGGCGCGAACGAACGAGGGCCACGGTGGGCATACATATGGGGCCGCGAAGGAAGGCAATAGGGGGCCACGAAGGGTTGCAACGGGGTCACGAAGGGCAGCGATGGGGGGCTACGAACGGCATGCATATGAGGCCGCGAGGGCCAGTGAGGGGGCCACGAGTGGCTGCAACGGGGCCACGAACGGCATCGAGGGGGCCACGAAGGGTTGCAACGGGGCCACGAAGGGCAGCGAGGAGGCCACGAAGGGCTGCAACGGGGCCACGAAGGGCAGCGCGGGGGCAACGGAGGGCTGCAACGGGACCACGAAGGGCAGCGAGGGGGCCACGAAGGGCTGCAAGGGGGCCACGAAGCGCAGCGAGGGGCCACGAAGGGCTGCAAGGGGGCCACGCAGGACAGCGAGGGGGTCAAGAAGGGCTGCAGCGGGGCCACGAAGGACAGCGAGGGAGCCACGAAGGGTGGCAACGGGTCCACGAACGGCAGCGGGGGGGCCACGAAGGCTTGCAACGGGGCCGCGAAGGGCAGCGAGATCCCGATTCCTCAGTGATCTGTGAGGGAGTCCTAAGCGTGATCGCGACTCCTGGGTGCGTGGGTGTCGGGAGCGCGGCGTTTGAGGAAAGTGTGGGAAGTTCCGACACAACGGCGCTATTCTTGAGTAGATTCCAAGCGTGCTTCCAGCGAGAGCGCGATTCCAGAGCGCCGAGAGAGCGATTCCTGAATACATTGCAAGGAAGTCCCATGCGAGAGCGCGATCCCTGAATAAGATGCGAGGAAGTCTCCGGCGGCAGCGGGGGTCCTGGCTAAATCGTGCGGAAGTCTCAGGCGGGAGCCGTTGTTGTTCCAACCCGGGGCCAACAACGGCTGTTTTGAAGAGGAAAACTTTCCCTAAAAAACAGGGTGCGAGCGTCCGGAGGGGCATTTCAATGGAATAGATACAATGTGCACGGGAGGGTGGATGAACAATCGTTATTCTTCAGTAGCTAGTGAGAGTTCAACAACAAGCATTTTACCCTCATGCGCGATGCTTCCGCGCGAAGCATGCGACCATCATGATAACCATCCCCTCCATGGGGGACTCTTGTTCTATAGCGGGCCCGTTCTTCCCATTCCCAGGTCTCCCGCCCAATGAGGTCTTGCAAACACCTCTTCCGAGAAAATTCAACATATCCCGATTCGAACTGCATGCCCGCGCCTTGCTGCGCCGATGCGAGACCGCCTGTGGAGCTCCAGCCAAGGGTGAAACAAGGAAATATCGAGCGACAGGATTGCCTTGGTGGGGATAGGGGGTGTCGGCGGCGAGGCAAGGACCTGGCCCAGAATAGTACTGGAGGGAGTCTCGAGCAGGGCCGCTGTTGTTGCTGGGGGCGGCGCCAGTTTTGAAGACAGTATAGCGCTCACGGGACAGGAAGGGATTGCGCAACCCTCCCGCACTTGAGGGCGCGGGCGGGCAGGAGCTGGAACGCTCCCGCGCGACGGTCGCCCAGCAGCAGGAGGACCCCTCCGCCGCTCCCCTCCCTTCCGCCCAGTGGTCGGGGGATGGGGGACGTCGGCTACGGCGACGACGGGGACGACAACGACGACGACGCCGACGCCGACGCCGATGACGCCGACCACGACGCCGACGCCGAAGCCGGCGCTGGCGCAGACGACGACCACGACCACGACCACGACGGCGACGTCGACGGCGACGCCGATGACGACGACGTTGGCGACGCCGACGCCGACGCCGACGCCCACGCCCACGCCCACGCCGACGCCGACGCCGACGCCGACGACGACGCCGATGCCGACGCCGACCACGACTACGACCACGACGGCGACGGCGACGGTGACGGCGACGGCGACGACGACCACGACGACGACGGTAACGACGGTGACGGCGACAGCGACGACGGTGACGGCGCCGACGGCGACGCCGACAACGACGACGACGACGACGACGACGACGCCGACGTGGATGCCGCCGACGACTACGACCACGACGGCCCGGCGACGGCGACGGCGACGACGGCGACGACGTCGGCGACGACGACGATGACGACGCCGACGCCGACGCCGACGCCGCTCTCCTCCCCTCCGTCCAGCGGTCGGAGAAGGGGGGGCGACTTCTACGACGACGGCGGGGACCACGACGACCACGGCGACGCCGACGACGACGACGACTACGACCACGACGACGACGACGACGTTGACGCCGACGACGACGACGACGACGACGACGACGGCGACGGTGATGGCGACGCCGACGCCGCCGGCAACGCCGCCGACGACGACGAAGGCGACTGCTACGGCGACGATGGAGACGACGACAACGACGACAGCGACGTCGGAGCCGACGCGGGCGACGACGACGACGTGGACCACGACGACAACGTCGACGCCGACGTCGACGACGACGCCGACAGCGACGGCGATGGCGACGGCGACGCCGACGCCGACGCCGACGCCGACGACCACGCCGACGCCGCCGCCGACGACGACTACGACCACGACGGGTCGGGGATGGCGACGGCGACGGCGACGACGACCGCGGCGACGACGGACGACGACGACGCCGACGCCGCTATCCTCCCCTTTCGTCCAGCGGTCGGAGGAGGGTGGACGACTGCTACGACGACGACGGGGACCACGACGACAACGTCGACGACGACGACGACGACGACGACGACGACGACGACGACGACGACGACGACTACGACTACGACCACGACGACGCCGACACCGACGCCGACGCTGACGCCGACGCCGACGACGCCGACGAAGACTACGACCACGACGGCGACGGCGACGGCGACGCCTACGGCGATTACGTCGCCGACGCCCACGCCGACGACGACGACGACGACGACGACGACGACGACGGCGACGGCGACGGCGACAGCGACGGGCACGACAGCAACGACGGCGACGACGGCGACGACGACGCCGACGCCGATGCCGACGCCGACGACGACGACGACGCCGACGCCGACGACGACGATGACGACTACGACCACGTCGGCGTGCCGACGCCGACGTCTACGACGCTGACGGCGACGACGACGGCGACGCCGACGCCGACGACCACTACAACCACGACGACGACGACGACGGCTACGGCCACGACGACGACGACGACCACGGCGACGACGACGACCACGGCGACGCCGACGCCCACGCCCACGCCCACGCCGCCGAGGGCGACGGCTTCGACGATGGCTACGCCCACGACGGCGCGGCGACGCCGACGCCGACGACGCCGACGCCGACGACGACGAGGATGACGACAACGACGACTACGACGACGCCGACGACGCCGACGCCGACGCCGACGACGACGACGACGCCGACGGCGACGGCGACGGCGTCGGCGACGACGACGTCGACGCCGTCGGCGACGGCGACGGCGACGGCGACGACGCCCACGCCGACGACGACGACTCCGACGACGACGAAGACGACGACGACGCCGGCGACTACGACCACGACGGCGACGGCGACAACGATGACGATGACGACGATTTCGACGACGACGAAGACGCCGACGACGCCGACGCCGACGCCAACGCCGACGACGACTACGACGACGACCACGACGTTGAGGCGACGGCGGCCACGCCGACGACGCCAACGATGCCGACGACGACGCCGACGCCGACGACGAAGACGACGACGACGACGGCGACGACGAAGGCGACGGCGACGACGCTGGCGCCGACGCCGACGCCGATGACGACGACGTCGGCGACGAAGACGCCGACGCCGACACCGACGCCGTCGCAGACAACGACGACGACGGCGACGGCGACGACGAAGACGACGACGACGCCGACGCCGACGCCGACGCCGACAACGACGCCGACGTGACGAAAATGAGAACGACGGAGACGACGCCGACGCCGACAACAACGACGACGACGTTAACGACGACGACGAAGACGGCGACACCGACGGCAATGACGCCGACGACGACGCCGACGACGCCGACGCCGACGCCGACGCCAATGCCGACGCCGACGACGAGGACGGCGACGACGACGACGACGACGAAGACAACGACGCCGACGTGACGAAAATGAACACGACGAAGACGACGCCGACGCCGACGACAACGACGACGACGTTAACGACGACCACGAAGACGGCGACACCGACGGCAATGACGACGCCGACGACGACGCCGACGACGACGCCGACGCCGACGCCGACGCCGACGACGAGGACGGCGACGGCGACGACGACGACGACGAAGACAACGACGACGACGACGACGCCGACCACTACGCCGACGCCGACGCCGACGACGACTGCGATGACGGCTACGGCGGAGGCAGTGGCGTGGGTGGCGGCGGAAGCGGCGGCGGTGGCGGCCACGGCGGTGGCCGCCCAGGAGCAGGAGGACCCATCTGTTGCGCTCCTCTCCTCTGTGCATTGATCGCAAGGTTTCGACGCTTGTGTACTCCTTCGCGGGCCCACCCTCCCGCAGGCGCGTGCGGGCGCGCGTGCACAGGTTGCCGAGACCCCTGGCACGCTTGCGCACGCCAAAGCACGCGTGTTGAAAATTCTTCCTCCTCTTGGCCGCGATCTCCTCCTCTTCCTCATCCTCCTTCTCCTCCTTGTTCCTCCTCCTCCTCCCGTCTCCTCCCCTCCCTCGCTCCCCAATCCTGCCCCCTCTCCTCATGTTTGCTATTTCCAGGAATAAGAGTGCGTGGCGTCTTTGGAGCACGGGATCATTCCCCAAGCCCACGTTCGACGACGACGGCCTCCTCATCCGCCCCCGGCAGGAGATTACCGAGCTGGAGTCTCTGGTCTGCGAGCTCCGGACACAGTCGGAGCGAGACCAGGCGAGCTGCTGGGCACGCGGCCGGGCATTGTGTAATTTTGTCCGCCCCCCGAGAGCAGGAGGGAGCGGGAGGGAGTTGACGGGAGGGCATGACTGGGCAGGGGAAGAGAGTGGAAGTTGGAGTCGGCTGGCTGTCTGAGGTGGCCCAGCTTTGATTCCGGCCAGCGGGAAGGGGGGGGCAGATTCGAGGTGCTGGGTTCGACAAGGTTTGGTGCGCCTTTTTCGGTCTCCGGAGGCTCCGTTTTCGAGTCCGTTTTCGGGACGCAGGACCGTCAAACTCGGATCCGGGGTGAACAATTGCGCCACATGGACCTTCTGAGGGGTCAGGGGACCAATTTTGCTTTCATCCTCCCCTCGCGACAGATTTTCTCCGGGCGCAGCCAGGCGTAAGGCATGGAGATCAGGGGAAGGGAGGGGGAAAGAGAACAGGCAGAAGGAATGGCCTGGTTCGATTATTGTCTGGTTTCTTCTTCGCCCTCTACTATTCTTGTCGCCAGAGGCTCGCCAAGTTTCCGTATAAACGGCACCAGCTCTCCGCTGTAACCGTGCAGTCTGAGGGCGTGTTCGTCAGGGTCCTGCGAGCACATCGTAGTTCCCTCCGTCTGTTGTTTCCTCCAGCGCCACGATGACGCAATATCTGCCAAGCTAGCGGGGGGCCTCGCAAGAGGTAACCCACTCAGTTTGCGCTGACCTGTCCCTTGCGCAAGCTTGCGCGGGGACGCTGCCCGACGAGACCGCGACACCTTCATGCACAGGGCGGCTTCCAGCTGAGTTTTCAGGACTGACGTGCCCATGTGCTGCCACACCGCCTCGAGCCTTGGACAAAGACCCGGCACCCGGAAGGTGATCCAGCCAGCAGTGGCCTCCAGCTTCCGAAGCTCGCCCGGCGCCAGCATGGAGACCCCCACCTCGACGCCCGGCGTGCCCTCTGGGGACGCCAGGATCGGTCGACAAAGTGCCGCCCCGCTCCAGGCGAGCGCTGTCCCAGCATATGCCGCTGCCATCTCCCAAGGACTGCACGCTTCACAGATCACCACTTTGGGGATGCTGAGCTCCGATTCGATTCCCTCCCCCCCGTCTTCCTTCCCTCTCCTTCCCCCCTCTTGGCAGCGAGCCCGGGAGGGGAGTGAAGAGCAGAAGGCCTTCTCAGAAGGTTCGGAAGTCACCCGGCCTTCTGAAAAAGGTATCTAAGCCTCCCCCGGAGACGCAGAAAACTTCTCGGAAGGTTCGAGGCTTTCTGAGAAGTCCCGCCGCCTGCCGAGCGCACCTTCTCCTTCTCGCCTCCCCCCTTCGCTCGCCGCCTTGTCGTCTCTCCCTCTCTCTGTCCTCCCTCTCCCCTCCTTTCCCCCTGCCTCCCCAGATCGCTGTGGATCCGGGCCGGGCCGCTGTGTGCACAGAGTGGTGGTCATCAATGAGCGGGCATACGTTTCACAAGTTTGAAAAGGAGATCTTCCTGTCGAGGCCACGGCCTCCACGCCAGGCCTTAATGGGCACGGGCGAGCTCCCAGGAGGAGCACGCACGACTCCGGCGTTCGTTCGTTCGTTCCCCAGGTCCCTCCCCATCCCTCCGCCGGCGACGACGGCGGCAGCGCCTCCCGGGGCAGCGCCCTCTTGCGCCGGGCCTCCCACCCGCCGCCAGGAGGGCGCCCGGCTGCAGCAGCGCGCGACGGAGCAGAAGGCCCCCTTGTGCCCCCCCCTCAACGGAGAGGGAGGAGGAGGAGGAGGAGGAGGAGGAGGAGGAGGAGGAGGAGGAGAAGGAGGACGAGGTCGAGGACGAGGACGAGGACGAGGACGAGGAGGAAGAAGATGGAAGATCATGCTGGATCATGCTGCGATGCCACCCACGTGGCTTCAATCACTGTCACCGCTATCATCACCGTCGCCACTCGACCTCTGCACAACGCGAGCACCAGCGAGCCCTGTACGCCCCTGACCCTGGGCCCTGAGTCGACCAGCGACACCCTCAAGCGAAACCTCATTACCTGCTCTGGCAGCGGCAGCGGCAAAGACAGCAGCCGCATACTCGCCCGCGGGTGGGGCGCGGGCACGGTCCTCGGGCACCTGCATCAAGTCGGCGAGCTCTCCAAAGGGGCGGCTGGAGGAACAAGCCAGATATTCATCAATCACTGACCCCTCCTTCAAAGGGGCACCACTCCAACCCTCAGTTCTTTCCCGAGGGGGGGGCGGGAGGGCTCTCGCAGCGGCATCCAGCGCCGCCGCCTCACGCAAGGCCACCGGTGGGCCTCGATAGGACGGAACAATGCTCTGTTTATTTCGCTTGAGGTTTTCTCCCCCCTTTATCGTAGGGGGGGCACACGCATTCTGAAGCCAACGACCGTCAGTCGTGGCAGTGAAACCACACTGCCAGAAAAACAACCCTTAGGCTTTCATTCTCGCGAGGCTGTGGCTGGGGTGAAGCTTCACGGCGCCACACCACGCCTCTCCCGAGATCGCCTCGAAACCTTTTCCGAACTCTGGCATTAGACCCAGCACCTCGGAAGGACCCGTCGGCGGCGACGGTATCGGGATTCGGCACTTGGTCGAGGCAACAGCAATCACTTGGCTTCTCGGATCGATAACCTTACAACAGTCACACTCCAGACTCCAGCGACCAGCGAACGGGCGAAACTTGTGCACACTATCGCGGATCGCCTGGACGAATTTTGTGGTCTTGCGGATCTTGGGCGCTGGCGGAGCTCGAACCCCTTCCCAAGGCTCAACCTCGAGCGCCAGCAAGAGTGCCCGTCTGGCCCGCTTTCTTACCAGTGCCGCAGTCGTGTCCCACGCGTCAGTCCGAGGGGGGGGAGAAACAATACACCACTCCCACGCGCGCTGGGCAGCAACCCCCGCATAGACATCGGAAGAGCTCAAACTGAGAGGTTACCGACTGCAACTTATCCTCCGTGTGGGACGGGGTCCACAAACGCGAAACATCACCAGGGCCGTGGTTTCGCAACGTACGAGCGACACGGACCCAAAGGTCACCGTTCGGCCCCCGAGGAGAAACAGCACGGCCACCGTGCCAGTCAGGAATCAAGCTCTTGCAGTCAGTAACATAGCAAATCGGACCGTGCGAGGGCTCTATAGCAAGGCAGAAGGTTTGAATCTCGGCTCTCGGAACCGTCTGCCGTCTGCCCGACAAAATCTGACCTACACCGCATTGAGGCACCCAGGAGTGTGGCGACGAGGGATCCTGACACATCAAGACCACCGCCGAGCCGCATCGCCTACGCCTGGGGGACGAAGATGGAAGATGGGGATGGGGGGGAGGAGGAGGAGGAGGAGAAGGAGGAGGAGGAGGAGGAGGAGGAGGAGGTGGACGGAGCGAACTTCGGTCGGTCCGTCACCACACGGTGTTTGGGCGTCCAGAGTGGAGGCGGGGGTGTCCTGCGTCGCCTGCGAAGGCTAGTGCTACCTGAAGGTCTTCACTGCGTGTGCTGTCCCCCGTGTCGTGATTCCTGTTTGTGTGCTCGAGTCTCGACGATCTCGGCGGCGTACTTAACTAGTTTGGATGCCTCGCAGCCTCGCTGCTTTTTGGGGCACAGGGCCTGCGGTGGGTGCGCGCGGCCGCGCCCGCGGCCGAGCGCGCTGCCGGCGCCCCCGCCAGGTCGCGTCGCTCACGGGCAGTCTCGAGGAGGCGAGCTCGGCGCTGCAGCGGCTGCAGGCCCAGCTGGAGGCGGCGGGCCCGCGGCCGCCGCCCGTCGTCGTCGTCGTCGTCGTCGTCGTCGTCGTCGTCGTCGTCGGCGTCGTCGGCGTCGTCGGCGTTGTCGGCGGCGTCGGCGTCGTCGTCGGCGTTGTCGGCGGCGTCGGCGTCGTCGTCGGCGTCGTCGTCGTCGTCGTCACCGCCGTCGTCGGCGTCGTCGATCTGCGACGCGATGCCCAACCCCCTCGACGCAAAGTGAAGCCGCTCAGAAGAAGAAGGGGAACTCTGGGATACACCCCAAGGGGGCTATCCGGACGCACTCCTAGCGAGGATGGACGCCCCCCGTCGTATATCTATCCCAGGGTTGGGCCCAAAATTTCAGGTCCATTCGAGAACCCCCTCGAAGCCTGGGATAGGTGTCGACATATCTCTTGTTAGCCCATCTGGGGGGAAGGTTCAAGCAGTGGCGAGGCGTCCTGACGGCCTTCGGCCCATCCGGCCTTCGGCCTTCGGCCCATCCGGCCACCGTGCCTGAGTTGTGGGTAGGCTTCTGGGAGCTTCATTCGGATGTCGCGGGAGGCTTCTCGGGGGCTCTTGTGGAGGCAGTTTTGAGGCCTCTCGGGGGCCGTTTTAGTGCCTCGTGGGGGCCCCCAGGGGCTTTTTGGGGGTCCCTTGGGGGCCTCTTGGGGCCTCCTGAGAGCCTCCTGGGGCGGAAGGCTCGGATTTTCGGTTCGTGTTTCCCCTCTCAGGGCCGTCTTGGTGCCATCTCAGGCCGTCTTGTGAGCCTCTTTTGCCGTCTTTGGGCCCTCTTGGGCCGCCTTGAGACCGTCTTGGGGTGGCTGTGAGTGTCCCTTGGGACGTCTGAGATCGTCGGAAATACGACAAGTGGGGAACCCAAAACACACTGCAAAACCTGAGGACAATCAATGAGTTTGGTCTGGAGTGAAGGGTTTCTCCGAAGAGCTTAGGCGACCCGTCCTCCTCTCTCCTCCTCCTTCTTCCCATCCTCGTTCCCCTCCTCCTCCTCCTCCTCCTCCTCCTCCCTCCTCCTCCTCCTCCTCCTCCTCCTCCTCCTCCTCCTCCTCCTCCCCCCCTCCCCCTCCCCCTCCCCCTCCCCCTCCCCCTCCTCGCCCTCCTCCTCCCCGCCCTCCCTCGTCGGATCGGCCACGGCCCCGGGGGGAAACCGTCCAGCCTGGAAACGGCTTTTGCAGGCGTCTTGGGACGCCCCGGGCGCTTGGTCGGCCGACCGAAGCCCGTCCTGGGCGTCTCGGACCGACCGTGCAGCGATTCGGGGCCCTCTCGGAGGCCTCTTGGGGCACTCTTGGCCTGTTCTCGGGCCCGAGCAAGTCGTGCGACGCACTCCAGGAGCCCGTCTTGGGCGTCTTGGACCGACCGTGCAGCGATTCGGGGCCCTCTTCGAGGCCCTCCTGGGGCACCCTTGGCCCGTCTTCGGGCCCGGACCAGTCGTGCGGCACACATTCCAGGAGCCACCTGACAAACCACGGGAGATGTGGGCGTTGGATGTCTGGGCCCGCCAAAGGTCTTCAGGATCTGAGAGCTGACACTGCAGGGGGTTGGTCACGAAAACTGAGAACATTGCAACTCGTGCATCAAGAGCACGGTGGCGGATAGGCCCACCAAAGGATGTTATACATCTTTTTGTTGTGATGTACGGAATGTGCTTAGAACATTTCTGGTTGAGACCGTGTTGGTTCAATCCATATGTTTTATCTTCTAAGGGTATCATTTATGTTATTGAGAAGTCTCTTGTTCTAAGAACATGCCTAGAGGAATGGTTGTACGGTCGATCCCTCCGCAAATCGGAGACAGGAGGCGGAGGTTGTCGCACAGACATGGCCGTCTTGTGAAGCAAAAAACGCACGATTTGTGCCAGTTCTCGGCCCTTTGGGGCCGTCGCCGAGCCCCAGGACAATCAAACAAATCACACGCGATGAAAAACCGGCCTCGCAGGAGTGGTCGGGACTTCCGGGAGCCCCGTACTTGAACGTAAATTAGGGGCATGGCATGTTTGGGCGTTGAGCGGCGGCATGGCCGAGTCAACGTACTCGAGACTCTGGACGTGGACTGGGTGGGGCGAGTACCACTTCCGCCACCAGCCACCACAAGCCCAGACAGGTCAAGGGAAAAGAGAGGCGGGAGGCGAGGCTAGGCGTGGAGGTCGAGGGAGGCGGAGGTGGGAGGAGCGAGAGAACGCAGGCAGAGTACACTGAGGTCCTGGCGTTGCATTTGTTCCACACCGGGCGTTTTCGCTCGGCGTCGGGCCCCGGAGGCATCCCAGATCGAGTCGCCTCGAAGAGTGCAGCAGACGGGGTCTATAGGGCTCAGTTCGTGATTTTCGGCTCTGCTGCCATCGGACTTCGATGGAGGAAGCAGTCAGGGTAGTTCAGATGCCCGTCCCGCTGCCGCCGATCATCTTGTGAGGAGGCGGAATGGGGCGGAAGGGAATCCAGACATGCTCGCGTCGAGAAGAAAATCACTCAGGATGGAAAACAACACACACGCACAAAGAATCGTCGATTCCCAGGAAGGTATTTGAAAATATGGTAAGCATAGGGGGGAGAAGTGAATCCAGAAATATTGACAGATATGGAGAATCATGGGGTTTGTGTCTATTCATTTGTGCGTGTCCCTGTCCCCTCCAATCACGACGGACGGTGAGTGGCCAGTTTCGGCTTCTGGGTGCACTCGCCGGGCCTCGGGATCGTCAACATAACTACTTGGGATGAAAAAGACCGGCCCTGAGGGAAGGGTCGGGCCTTCTGGGGGGCCCGTGCTGCAGAAAGCAAGACGTCGCCGCCTGTCTTCCGGAACAAGCAGGCAGAGTGCGGGGGAGGGAGTCGAGACGCAAAGTTTGCAGCAGAAGCGCAAATGCTCGGAGGGCCGCGCGGATCTCTTGGAATTGCGCTGGAATCCCTTGGCGGCGTGTCCGGCGCTGCGCTTGGCGCTTTCCGTGCGCCAGGCGCAGGCCCAAAAGATCCGCGCGGACTTCCGAAAGTTTAATGTTCGGTCATGGCGTTCTGGATTCCTCCGGGGAGGGAGGGACGGGGCGGGGAGGGGCGGGGGCGTGGAGGAGGGAGACGGAGTAGGATGAGAGGCAGGGGGGCATCCCCCCTCCTGCTCGACTCCTGGCGTGTTCTTCATCATCTTCCCCCCCCTCCCGCTACCCCCCTTGTTATCCTACCCCTCCCCAACTCATGCCCTCAACCCCATGCTCTCCCCAGCGATTCACCTTGCCCGCCTTATCTTTTGCCTTCTCATCCCGTTCTCCTACTCTATCCGCCCCCCCTCCCGCCATCCTGAGGCATCACAGGCATGCCCCCAGGGTTGACACCGATCCAGGGGGCCTGCTTCCGGGTTTATCTACGGGTCCGCGACGTGTTTCAAGCTCTGCGGCTTGAGACGAAGACCACCAACAGCCGCCATCCTGCATGTTCTTCCGTAGCTCATCAAGGGAGCCGTGTATACCCTCGTGATTCCGTCTTCAGCGTCGATCAGCGTCCACCAGCGTTTGGGAGTCGATGAGATAGCGCCGATTTAGCGTCGATTACCGTCCGTGTAGCGTCGACTAGCGTCGATTCAGCGTCGATTAGCGTCGATTCGCAAGAGCCGACAAGATGCTACGGGAGGCTCCCATGAGCTGCCACCGAACATCCCTGCTTCCCCTTCCACATTCCGTGCTCCCCCTTCCCCCCCTCGCCGAGGGGACCATGGACGAGTGCGCCAGGGAGCAGGCCGCGATGCGGCAGATGGTCGACGAGCGCGTCGTGCAGCTGCAGAGCAAGGAGGAGGCCCCGCGATCTCGGGCTCGACCCCGCTCCCCTCCTCCTCCTCCTCCTCCTCCTCCGCCTCCTCCTCCTCCTCCTCCTCCTCCTCCTCCTCCTCCTTGTTGTCGTCCTCGTCGACTGCTTCCCCCCCCCTGCCCTTTCACGCCCTGCGGCGCGATCCTCCTTGTTGTCATCTTCTTCGGCCGCTTCCTCTGGCGCTCGTGCCGTCATCCCGCGGGGGCAGAAGCGTAGGACGACCCTCCTTCCTCATCCTCCTCCTTCCCGCCCCCTGTCCGTCTGAGCTTGGCATCGCTCGGACGTGTGCATTGTTTTCTCGGCGAGGACCGTCGAGGAGCATTCGAGGCCATCTTGCGAAAACTGCACGCGTGAAACCCGAACAAAGCACGGGGAATGGACGTCCGAGCGATGGCGATTCTCACACTCCTCCCATGTCCTCCCCCTCCCCCCGCTCTCCTGCCAACTCTCGCTGCTGCCGTTGTAGCTCATCGCCTTCCTCCGTCTTCTCTGGTCCATCCTCCTGCTCCCCCCTCCTCCTCACCACATCCCCTTGGCATCGCTCGGACGCGTCCTCTCTCTTTTGTTCGGCGAGGGCCATCGTGGAGCATCCAGGATCACGTTGCGAAGGCTATGCGCACGAAGCCGACCAATGTACGGAGAATGGACGTCCTAGCGATGGCAAGCCCCCCCTCATTCTCCCCCCTCCTCATCCACACCATCTTCCTCCTCCTACAGCCGACCCGCATAGTAAGGATGAGCGACTTCCCAAAATTACCTTTGCATCCCTCCACTTCGGCCCATGCTTGGCCGCTTCTGCTGGCCGCGCCCCGCCCGCAGAGTGCCGACATGGCCCAACATGACCCCTGCACCCTTACCGCGCGTCCTCATTCTGCGGGTCGACTGCGCAGCTGCCCACGCTTGGTCTCTCGGCGGCGAGCGAGGGGGGAATGCGAGAAGGAGGTGGCCTTCTCAGAAGGTTCGGAAGTCCCCCGGGCTCCTGCGAAGTTTTCGAAGCCTTCCCCGGCGACAGAAGAAAAGCTTCTCGGAAGGCGCGGGGGCGTTCTGAGCATTCCCGCCGCCTGCTGAGATTGCCTCCTCCTCCTCCCTCCCTATTCCCCCCCCTCGCTCGCCGCCGATGCTCGGGGTCCCCGGCTCTCCGTACCGCCTGCCGGAGGGTTCCACAGGGGGTTTGGGGGAGGGGGGTGTTTCCAGAGGGCCCCGCAGAGGGCCTCAGAGCCTCGTCACAACAGGGGAGGGGGCGAAGCCCCTGGGGGACCGGAAAGGCCCCCCTCCCCCAAAAACCCCCTTCGGAACCCTGGGGGTTTGGGGGAGGGGGGTGTTTCCAGAGGGCCCCGCAGAGGGTCTCGGAGCCTCGTCAGAACAGGGGGCGAAGCCCCCTGGGGGCCTGGAAGGCCCCCGCCCCGCCCCCGAAAACCCCCCTTCGGCACCCTCCAGGCCCGGCCCCCCGCGTCTGCCCGCCGCCGAGGCTGGGGCCCACGCGCGGCGCGCGTGCGGTGCGTGCGCGCGTCGCGCCCGGGCCGTCGACCAGCGGTGCCCGCTCGCCGCTCCCGGCCCCCGCGAGGGGGAGCCCCCGCGCGCCGCCGGCCAGGCTCGACGCAGGTTGCGTGGCAGAAGCCTCCTCCTGCTCCTGCTGCCCCTCCTCCTCCTGCTCATCCTCCTCCTGCCTCCTCCTGCTTCTCCTCCTTCCGCCTCCGCTTCCTCCTCGTCCTCTTCCTCCTTCTCCTCCCCCTCCTCCCCCCTCATCCTCCTCCTGTCCCTATCCATCGGGTGGCCCCGAGGACGAAGTTTACACACCGCTGGAGGTTAGGCCCACCCCTCACGCGCCTGATACATTTCCACGACGCGCTGAACATAGGTTTTCTCGGGCATGTGTGGAATCAATGTCTAAGACACGTCGAGAGAATTCAGATCGTTTCCCTCGCGATGTATCTCCCAAAGTTGTCGGAGCTCACAGCCTGGTTGAAGCACTGATGCTCGCGGTAATCCTGGTAATCCCCCCTCCTTCTCCCATTCGCAGGAGGGTGAGGGTTGGACAGGAAGAAAGCGACGGGGTCAAATTACCGTCCCCCATCCGTTCTTCCCCTGCTGCAGCTGAGCGCTCTGGGACAAACCCAGCATTCCAATGAGAGCTGGCTGGCTGCACGCTACGCTGGGAGAGGCCGCGGATACGCTGGCAGGGCGTCACCGTCGATGTCGCACCGTAGGGCGCTGGTGGGGCCCCCGCCGCGCTCCCCGCGTGTGCCGTCCCCCAGCGGGACGACTGTCGGCGCTGCCATCTGATGTGTCTGTCTCTCTCTCTCTCTCGATTTCCCTCTTGGTTTTTTGTTCCTCTCTCCTCTCTCTCTTTCTCGCCCATCCCCTTCCTTCGAGGAAGATACAACGGCATAAACAGAACTTGTTGCGATCCACGCGGGTTTCTTGGATCCGCGCTGGGGCTCCCCTGGCGGCGCCTCCGGCGCTGCCCCTGGCGCGCTCCGCGCGCCAGGGAGGGGGCTCTGGCACGGATCCAAGAACTCCGCGCGGACCCCCAAAAGTTTCTGATTATGTGGTTGTTTGTTCCTCTATTCCTGTCGTTGCCTCGCTTCCATCACGCGATGGCGGACTCGATGGAGTCCTTGTCGTTCGTTGGTTGTCTCCTCCTCCTGCTCCTAGAGGTCAGGTGCAAGCGGCCACCGCTTTCGTGAGTTCAATGATTCGCCAGGTCTTGGCAGCTAGCTGGCACTGTTATTGGTGTACCTCTTGTACAGCTTAAGACGCGCGCCCCAGTAACACCGGATGGGGATATATAAATGGAGGAAGTTGGCAGGGAAGACGGCGAATGGCAAGATTGCACGAGTGACGACGATGATACAGGATCTTAGCGAACAAGATAGTGGCATACCAAACTTTATCATAACGCTGCAGTCGAACCTGCGTACGTCAGATCATGCGGAGCGGCTGTTGCTTTGGGCGACAGGTAACAATGACAACAGCTATGTGATGAGGGTGGTGGAGGAAGGAGGAGGAATAGCATCAGGTGCGCGGTGTTCCTGCGTGCCCTGCGTGCCTGCTTGCGCGTCTAACAGAGCGCGATGCAGCTCCAGCAGCTTCCGCTCTTTCCCCCCTCCCACCTCCGCTCTTTCCCCCCTCCCTCCTCCTGCAGGTCCACCTCCTCTCTTCTCCTTGCCCTCGTCCTCTTGATGTGGGCGAGTGCAGCGGTGCCTCGGAGGTGGTGTTGGTTGCTGATCGTGTCGGTGCTTGTGTCATTCACGTGGAATCGGGCTGCGTAAAGGTTGCTCACGAGCTGAAGAAGCGCCGTTAAGATCTGTGGGTCCTACATGGAGAGGGAGCGCTTGCCCTCCGAATCCCTCCTGGCTTGAGTGAGCGATGTCTCGCACAAGCGTCTCCGCGTAAAGGGGAGCTTCCGCGGTTCTGCATTCTTCTGTGTCGTCGTTTTTTCTCATCTCTTCTTCTTCCATACCCCTTCCTCTCCCCTGCTCTTGCTCCCCCCCGCTCCATTATAACCGTCCGGACTTTCTCGCCTTCTTTCCTCTTCCCTCCTTCTTCTTGTCAATGCTCCAGTCTTGTTGCTGCTCATTTCTCCTCGTCATCGTCGTCTCGCTTCTTCTCGTCTAATCTTCCCTCTGCGTCCTCACTCTTCTTCCGTCGCAGCCGTCGTCTTCCTCCCCGATTCGCCTCGTACTTCCTCGTCTCAATTCTGCTTGTCATCCTCCACTCTTTCTTTTCCTTGTCAGACTCGTTCTCGTTCTCCTGATGTTGCTTGGCTTCCTCCTCCTCCTCCTCTACCTCCTTTTTCCTCTATGCTCGCGCTGTCTGAGGAGGTCGTTCGCCTGCGCGAAAACCTGGAGACGACCAAGCGGGAGCATGCTCGCGAACAGCTTGCGTCGGAGGGGCGCTGGGAAGATGAGGAGAAGGAGTGATCAAGCGATAAGGCGAGGCGAAGGAAGAGGAGAGACGGGCGTGGAAGTGAAGATCCAGGAGGGGTAGTTGATTATTGATAGGAGGGTTAGATGAGGGAGAGCTGGGGGAGGGTTTGGGGAGGGTTGGGGGTGAAGGAGGGAGGCCGAGAGAACATGAGGGAGGAAGGTGGTGAATTGGGTGATGAGGGAGGCAGGGGGAAAGATGATCAGGAAGGACTGCAGAAGGAGGAGGAGGAGGAGGAGGAGGAGGAGCAGGAGGAGGAGGAGGAGGAGGAGGAGGAGGAGGAGGAGGAGGAGGAGTAGGCGAGGACGGAGGAGGAGGAGGACGAGGGATGAGGGTAAACATGGAAAGGGAGATGGGGAGATGGGAAAGGAGCGGTCGAGGGAGGAAATGGGCGTTTCCAGGCAGGCGAGGGCAGGAAACTGCACGACAGGTCTGGTGAAAACAATAAGGGCGCTGGGGGGCCGGGACACGTTCCGCATTGATCGCTGCAGAGATTCAGGGATAAAGGGGTCATACATATCTAAATGAAGGGACGGGAATTGTGAGACGAAGGAGGTTTAGGAAGCCCTGGACCGAGGCATGGAGGTGGAGCGCGGGGGATGGCATGGACGTGTAGATGGGTAGGCATATGTCGGTAGGTCGGTAAAGGAAGGTTGAGAGAGGGAGAAGAGACGAGCACAGAAGAGAAGAGGAGAAGGGAGAGAAAGAGCGAAAGAGGCAAGGAGGGAGGGAGAGAGTGAGGGAGGGAGAGAGGGAGAGAGAGAGAGAGAGACAAAAACAACAAAGGATATAGCACACCAGAGAGAGAGAGAGAGAAGAGGTAGAGGGAGAGAGAGAGAGAGAGGGATAATGATCATAAGAGTAACGACAGAGAGAGAGAGAGATGCTTACTGATGTGTGTACATAAGGGGGCTAGACATAGCATATCTAATTGCTTTCGTCCTATCTCGCCACCGTGCCTGGGTTGTGGGTCAGAGTCCTCAGGGATGCTTCTTGGAGTCTCTTGGAAGCGCTCTCGAGGGCCTCTTGGGGGCCGCTTCGTGGCTTCTTAAGAGCCTCTGGGGGGCATCCTGGGATGCTCTTGGGTGCCTCTGATGGCTTCCGGCGGTCCCTCTCTTGCGCCTCTTGATGGTCTCTTGGCTCTTGGCGACCCCTGGGAGCCTCCTGGGGGCCTCTCGGGGCCGAGAGCTCGAAATGTACATTCGGGTCCTCCGTCGGGGCCCCCTCTTGGAGTCGTCTTGGGGGCCTTTGGGGGCGTCTTTGGCGACTCTTGGGCCATATTGCGCCGTTTGGGGACCCCCTTAGGGGCCTCTTGGGCCGTCTTGGGGCGATATTTGGAGCTTCTTGGGCCGTTCTGGAGCGTCGGGAAGCCGAAACGGCGAGAACGCCAATTTGAGTCAAACTTCTAATGCGAACCAATGTTTTTGGCTTCTTGGGAAGCCTTTTTGAGGCCGTTTGGGTCGTCTTGGACCGATCGTTCGGCGACTCGGGACTCTCTTCCGCCGTCTTTGAGGCCTCCCAGGGTCCTCTTGGCTCGTCTTGGGGCTCTCTTGGCGTCCCAAAAGCTCGGGCGACGCACCCTGGCAGCGTTCAGGGCCGCCCAGGACCGCCTGGGAAAATGGGGGCTCGGGCCCCTACGAACTCTTAAGAACCACAAGCTGCATGAGCCTAGGGGCTCTCCACTGCGTGCCGAAGGCGTGGTAGCGGACAGACACACACACAGACACACATGTATACATATATATATATATAATGTATCTATATATACACACACATCTACACGTAAATGATCCCGGGCTCTGGGCCCATGGGCCCCCTCCCCCCCCCAGAAGGGGGTTGGTCTCAGGGTCCCTCGGGTCACCCCCCCGATGGGATGGGGGGGGCGGACGACGACGGCGACGACGACGACGACGACGACGACGACGACGACGACGACGACGACGACGACGACGACAGGGGTGGCGGCGGCGGCGGCGCTGACCTCCAGAGCCCTCCTCCGATGACGGCGGCGGCGGCGACGACGATCTCCAGAGCTCTCCTGGAACACCGCAGTACCACGCCACACCCACAGCACCACACCACACCTACTGGGGGGGGGGCCATCGTGCGGGGGGGGGACCGACGGCATCAGCATGGGGGGTGGCAGACCCTGGATCATATACAAATAAATGGCCCATCCCCCCCCTGGCCTGGCCAGCCCAGCCCGCAACAATTCTAATACGCTTACTGATACCCTATCGTTTCGCTCTCCAGAGGCGGCCCGGAGAGGCCAAGAAGGTGCCAAAACGAGCCAGTAGGGTTCCAAGAGGCACCCAAGACGGCGCAAGAAGGCCTCGAGTTGCCCAAAAAGGCCCCAAGACGCTCCAAGAAGGCTCCCAGAGCACTCCCAAGAAGGCCTCAAGAGGCCAAAATCATTAAATTCCGATAGGGGAACTTACATTTTTACCATGTACGCCTGTGCAGCTTTCACGGATGTGAAGACGGTCCAAGATGTTCCCAAGGCTCCCCCAAGACGGCCCCGGAGGATCCCATGAGGCCCCCAAGGCGGACCAAGATGGCGTCTAGGCGGCCCAAGAGGCGCCCAAAACGGCCCAAGTTGGCCCCAAGACGACGCCCAAGAAGGCCCAGAGTCGCCCAAGACGGTCCAAGATGGCCCCGAGACAGTCCTAGAAGGCTTCGAGACGTCCCAAGAGGCCTGCCAAAACACTCCCAAGAGGGCTCCAAGAGGCCAAGCTGAGGCCGCAGGTGGACCTCCTCTGGGCACGCCCCGTGCCAGGCATGTTCCGAAATGCGGGGACACCATGCAAAGATGCCTATTCTGGGGCATGAGTCGCGTGACAGGTGTGCCAACATGGGCGCGGGGGGGGGGCGTTGTGCGAACCTTCCGGGCCTTTAGGTGGTGCTCCTTGTGGGCACGATCCACGTGATGGGGTGTGCCGCAATGACCAGGGGGGGGGGGCGCAGTGCGAACCCTGCCTCTGGGGCCGTGGGTGGAGATCCCTGTGGGCCATGATCACGATCCGTGCGCGAGGTGTACCGAAGTAGGCGGGATGGCGGGATGCGAACCTTGTCTTTGGGGCTGTCTTTGGGGCCGCCCGATACGTGTGCGAAGTGTGCCAAAGTGAGCGGGGCGATGTTATGAAACTCCTCTTTGGTGCCGCAAATGCATGTACTTGCGGAGCACGGTCCGCGTGAGGGGTGTGCCACTGTGCGAACCTCGTCTCTGGTGACGTAATTAAGTGGGTCTCCTTGTGGGACGCGATGCTTTCGAGGGGTGTGCCGGCATGGGCGGGGTGACCCTCGGCCAAGCCCGTCTGAGGGGCTCAGGTGGAACTCCCTGAGGTGCACGATCCTTGTGACAATCTATATTCTCCGATGCCGACCATTTCTTGACTACAACTGGAGCTCGCTGGAACCTGAGCGCGCGCGAAGCGCGCGCGTGGTTCTAATACATATGTGTGTATGTATGTACACACATATATATATATGTATATATATATATATGTGTGTATGTACATATATATATATGAAAGAGCGTGTTCTACCGCTGCTGGCGGAAAACCGGGGGGGTCACTACCGGTTCGTGTCAGTGGGACAGTGTGGTGGGGACGGGACAGAGGTACAGTGGGGACAGTGGGGACAGTGGGGACAGGGTGGGGGTGTCAGTGGGACACAGTACGGGCAGTGGTTGGGGCCGTGGAGACAACGGGAGTCGTTTGCTGGCGGTGAGTGGGGGGGTAGGGAGGGGTTCGAACCGGTAGTGATCCCCCTCCGGTTTTCGAGGGGGGGGGGGGGTTCGAACCGGTAGTGACCCCCCCCGGTTTTCCGGATCCGGAGGGGGGTGGGGGGGTTCGAACCGGTAGTGACCCCCCCCGGTTTTCGAGGGGGAGGGGGGGGGGGGAGGGGTTAGGGGAGGGGGGGGTTTTGCCGGGGGAGGGGGGGGGGGGGGTCCAGCAGGGGGGGGGGATTTTCGGAGGGGGGGAACCCCAGGTTCCGGAGGAAGAGGGGGGAATTTTCCACAATAAAGCGGCGGTGGATCACGCTCTCTCTCTCTCTCTCTCTCTCTCTCTCTCTCTCTCTCATATATATATATATATATATATATATGCACTGTGTGTACGGCACTCACATGCAAGTCAACATATGTGTGAGCATCGATCCTGATATGTGCAGGCAGGCAAAGAGAAGTACGGAGAGACAGAGAGGGGGGTGACGACCCGTCATTGAGGGAGCCTGGAAACAGAGAGAGAGAGAGAGAGAGCTGAGTGGGATACTAGGATTGGGTTCGCTTCCTCCCATCCGATCCTCTCCGTGTCCTTCCCGTTCCATCTCCGTCACCGTTCTCACCTCCTCCTCATCCTCCCTCGTTCTCGTCATCCCCCCCCCCTTCGTTCACCCCTCCTCATGCTCCCCATCAACGCCTGGCGGAGCCAACCAACCTCCCCACCCCCATGTCCTTGTCCCTCGCCCATCTTCTCTGGCCCTCCCCCCCATCATTCTACCTCCTCCCTTCGACCCCCTCCCCTCTCCCTTGGCCCTCTTTCCCTCGCACCACCTCCCTCCATCCTGTCTCGTCCCCCTCCGCCCGAGGCAGGAGCTGCGGCTCGCGGGGAGTCATTCTCATTCCATCCTCTCGCGCCTCCCTGCCGTCTCGGCTCCCTCCCCCCCCCCGCCGGCGAACGGAACAAAAATGTCGCCGGGGAGGGTCTGCCCGAGCAGAACCGCGAGCTCTCCCTCACCCGGAGGCGCGCCAGGGGGGAGGGGCAAGAGGGGGCCAGGACGCGGATCGATCCGTTGCGAGGCGTTCCGGAACGCTCTCAGAGCGTTCTCGAACGCTCATGGGAAGGCCGGGGCGCCCTGGACATCCTGCAGAGCCGCCGGATCTCCGAGATTCCCGATTCGTTTGGGCGCTGCGTAATGGGGGGGTCATAAATGGGGGGGTGGCGAGCGTGGTCCGAAAAGGTACCCAAACGGTACCTAAACGAGCCCCCTGGGGCTCTGGAGGGTCCCGAAAGGGGCACGAAAGGGGACCTTTTCTGACCCCCCCATTTGTGACCCCCCCATTAAGCCACGCCCAATGCAGAGCCGCCGGATCTCCGAGTTTCCCGATTCGTCCTCACCCGAGTTGATCTTCGTCCTGGTTTCGTCTCAAGGGGCGGGCTCAGCACCCATTCGCCCCCCCTTCCTGCCTGACCTGGGCGCAGTCGTTCTCCCTCCTCCCTCCTCCCTCCTCCCTCCTCCCTCGGAGGAGGGAAAGGTACCCATACCGCTACCCTTGCTTCGTCTTCGCCCCGTTGAGCGCCTCCTGGGAGGCCCTCGTCGCTACCGCTGGGCATCGCCTCGGAATCCTGGCCAGAATGCGCCCCAGGAGAGGCCCAGGGAGCAGCTGCATTGGTACCCTTTGATTTCCCCACCCTCCTTCCCAGACCAGGGCGCAGTCGTGGATCCGGTGGAGGAAGAGGAGGGCTTGGAGGGGAGGAGAAGTGAACGCGAGGGGGCGAGGAGGGCGAGGGGGTTCTCAAGCTGACCCCGCCGGAGCCACGTGCCCGTGCTCCATGCTGGCGCTCGCCTCGTCCTGCTCCTGCGCCCCCCCCTCCAGCGCCTGCCCCTCCTTCCCCTGCCGCCCTCCTCCCCTGATGGGCCAATGTTCCACCACCACCACCACCACCACCACCACCACCACCACCACCACCACCACCACCACTACCACCATCACCACCACCACCACCACCACCACCACCACCACCACCACCACCACCACCACCACCACCATAGGTAGGGAGGAGGAGGAGGAGGAGGAGAAGGAGGAGGACCTCCCCTCCCCCTCCTCCCCATCCTCCCGGCTCCCCCGTCCTACGTGTGGCAGTCGTGGTGGTGGAATATTGGCCCATCGTCCCCGGTCCTCGTCTCGCCCCCCTTCCCCCTCCTCGTCTCGCTCCCCCCTCGCCTCCTGCTCCTCCCCCCCCCGCGGCACCCAGCAACCAGTGCTAAGTTTTAGTTAACTGGGTTTCTCTGGCGTGCGATGGCGGTCTGACCTCGCTCGCAGCACGTCTTATATTCTAAGCTGTGCTTTCATCCATATTTCCTTGCTCTGGCGTGCTCGCGATTCGTTGCTTGTACGTCCTATGCTGCGTCCGTGCGTCCTCCTTCCTCCTCCCCCTCCTCGTCTCGCTGGCCCTGAGGGGCCGAAGGGGGCCCGGGGCACCTGCGGAGCAAATGTCAGACATGGGCGAAGGCGGCGCCCCGGCGGCTCCTCTTCTCCTCTCGAGTCGGGGGCGGCCAAGAGGGGGGTGATGACTGGGGGCGGGGGGGGATCATGGCGGGGGCCATGAGATCTCTGCAGATGTCATGGCGCCTCTTCTTACTTCATCACGTCCCTGGCGTCCCCTGGGCCGCGCACAGGCCGCCGGAAATGATTTGCGCCCCCCCTCGACGCCCCCCCTCGTGGCCGCCCCCGAGAAGAGGTCTGGTGCATTCGACGCGGTATGGCCGTCAGCGGATGTGATGTCTCGCCCGCAGACTTCCTGCGGGCCCCGGACGTGGGGGGCGCAGTTTGCTGAGGGTGCCCAGCCGAAGGCTCGAGTGAACACCGGGCCCAAAAATGGAAGATGGAGGTACTGAGATCGATGTGCAGGGCGAGGGGGGAGGAGGAGGATCTGGGAGGAGGATATGATCTTCAGAGAGACGTCGCGTCGCGCCTGCAACGGCGCCAGCTGGGACGATGACAGCGACCACGACGGCTACGACGACGAGGCCAGGAAAGAAGATGGCGACCGCCATGTCGACGGCTGCGGCTACGACAAAGATGCCAAGGAGGAAGCGCTCGACGACGGCTATGGCTACGGCTACGACTGCGGCTACGACGGCAAGGAGCACGACGAGAAAGACGGTCCTACTGGGATGTTGGTTGCGCCCGTTCTTATAAGAGTTCGAGTAGCTGAGGGACGCAACAGCGTCGAGCTATTCGATTGCAAATCATGGGATCCTGGTGTACCATCTTAATTCGGTCTTTAGCGTCGATCAGCGTCGATTGGCGTCTGGAGTCCATGAGATTGCGCCGATTTAGCGTCGGCTAGCGTCGATCAGCGTCGATGTGGCGTCGATTCGTGTTGACTTCGCGTCGGCCAGCGCCGATTCGCACGAGCCGACAGGATGGTATGGGAGGCCCCCACGAGTTGCCACCGAAGAGCTAACCTTTGGCCAAGCGAGGCAGGCGACCGCCGTGGCGACGGCGCCGGGGCCACGGCGCCGGGGCCACGGCCGGCGGCGGCGGCGGCGGCAACGGCGCCGGAGTGCGCCGCGCGAGGGCCTCCTGCGAGGGCGCGCCCTGCCCTGCCCCCCCGAGAGGGCCCTGCGCCGAGCGCCGAGGGCCGGGGCCGCGGGAGAGAGGTCGCTCCACGGGGCGGCGCGCGGGCGCGCGGGGCACGGGCGCGGCGCCCCGGGGTGCAGAGCCGCCTGGTGTCCTCCTGGGCGTCGCGCGATGTAAGGGGAGGGGGGGGATCTCGCGGCGGGGGCCACGATGTTTCGCCAGATTTCCTGGCGCCTCTTTGTATTCCAATGCGTGCCCAGTCCTCCCCCCCCCGGGCCGCGCACATGCCGCCGGCCATGATTTGCGGCCCCCCCCCCTCTCTTGGACGCCCCCCTCCCTGGCCGCCCCCGATAATGGGGGGGGGCGATAGCCCCGAAAGGTCTTTTGTTTTGGTCCCCCCCCCTTTCCTTTCATGCGGCGGTGAACAGGACTGGTCCGAAGACCTCCCCCTTTTCCTCCTCTTCCTCCTCCTTTTCCCTCCTCCTCATCTTCCTTTCTCCCCTCCTGGATTTCCGACCCCTCGGCCCCTTTTGGGCTCGGGCCCCGAGGTCCTTTGGGTCAGGCCTTTGCAGAGCCACAGTTTTGGTTTTGGGGATAGAGAGGGAAGCGGCGCGGGAGGGGCGCATCTTCCCGAATCGCACCTCGCCGGCTTCCTCTCGTTTCCCTTCCTTTTCTGCTTGCGCCACGCTCCGTGGTCCTTTTGGTGGGGGCGTGGCGGTAGACGGGCGTCGGGCGGTCACGTGTGGCTGCCCTCTCTCACGAGCGCGTCTGGCGCCCTTTTGGAGCGCGGCGTCCGCCAGCCAGTGCCTTATCCTCCTCGTCCTCCTCCTCCTCCCCCCTTCTCCCCCAGGATGTTCCGTGAGAGCGCTCCTGAGGCATAGGTAGTAGCAGTAGTCGTCGTAGTCGCAGTAGTAATCGTAGTCGAAATTGTAACTGTCATCGTCGTTGTTGCGCGGCGGGAGCCGCGGAAAACAATAATTAGTTACCCCCTATTGGTGGGACCCCAGTCCTTCGATAAGGCTGCCGAACACGTAATCAGTTGCCCCCTATTGGGAGTGGTTCTAAAGACCCTTCGCGGTCAAATGGGTGGGCAGCGAGGGCTGGAGAGAAGGGGCCTTCTGGGGCCCCTGAAGAGGCCCTCAATGGGGGCCTCCATGGGCCCCGAGAAGTGCACCTTTTTTCCCCCCTATTCATCGCCCCCCATTAACCGAGCGACGCCCAGATCATATATATATATATATATAAAAATATATATATATATATGTATATGTACATATATGTACATATATATATATATGTAGGTAAATATGTATATATATATATATATATATTATATCCCTGATCGGTCGATGTTTCCCGGCCCCGGCGCGCCCGATACACAGAACCAGCATGTACGGTCGGACCGAGGTCTACGAGCGAGGTCGGTTCGGTGAGGGTGCCCTGATGGTCTGCGTGTTTCTTTGGTGTGTCTGCGCATGGCCCGAGCCGCACGGTGTTTTGGCGATGTCGAGGACCGTTTTCGTCTCGAGTTCGTTTCGCAGCAGAGGAGGAGCGACGACAGAACGAAGGAATACGAAGGCATAACGGAAAAGGAGAACCTCGGTTTGGCTGGACCACTTTTCTGGTGCATCTTAGGGAGGTTACCCTTGGATGTTCTGTGTGTGTGTGTGTGTTTTGACTGGCGGAGGGTCTCATGTTCTTGACCGATGTTTTTCCGTCTATAGGTCCGTTTGTGGCACGGATGCTTTTCGCCGGGAATGGCTTTCGCCGGGCCTCGTTTCGCCGGGCTTGCTGTCGCCGGGGCTGGCTTTCGCTGGGGTTGGCTTTTGCTGGGGATGGATGGACGCGGGCTCCATCGAGCGGGTCGGGTCGGGCGGGCGGACCCTGACGGGCGGGACGGGTCGAGGCGGGTCGGGCGGACCCTAACGGGCGGGTCGGGTCGGGAGCGGGGCCTTACAGTGTGAGGCGCACTCGAGCGAGTGGCGTGAACCCTAACCGGCGGGAGGGGTCGTGCGGGTGGACCCTAACGGGCGGGACGGGTCGGGTCGGGTCGGGCAGACCCTTGCAAGCGGGTCGGGCCGGGCGGGTCGGGCGTCCTACACGAAAGTGTAGGACGCGCCCGAGTGAGCACGCGTGAACCCTGACGGGCGGGTCGGGTCGGGCAGGCGGACCCTAACGGGCGGGACGGGTCGGGTCGAGTCGCGCGGGCCCTAACGGGCGGGTCGGGTCAGGTAGGCAGGACACTAAAGTGTTCGGCGCTTCGGAGCGAGCACGCGTGAATCCTGACGGGCGGGTCGGGTCGGGCGGGCGGCCCCTGACGGGCGGGTCGGGTCGGGTCGGGTCGGGCGGGCCCTAACGGGCGGGTCGGGCCGGGAGGGCGAGACAAGGTGGGGCGCGCCGGAGCGAGCTGCGTGAACATTACGGTTGGGGGCGGGCGGACCCTAACGGGCGGGTCGGGTCGAGTCGGGCGGACCCTAGCGGGCGGGTCGGGCCGGGCGGGCGGAACAAGTGTGGTGCAAGCCAGAGCGAGCACGCGTGAACCCTAACGGGCGGGTGGGGTCGGGCGGGCGCACCCTGACGGGCGGGTCGGGTCAGCTCGAGTCGGGCGGACCCTAACGGGCGGGTCGGGCCGGGCGGGCGGGACAAGTGTGGGGCGCGCCAGAGCGAGCACGCGTGAACCCTAACGGGCGGGTGGGGTCGGGCGGGCGGACCCTGACGGGCGGGTCGGGTCAGGTCGAGTCGGGCGGACCGCAACGGGCGGGTCGGGCCGGGCGGGCGGGGCAATGAGGCGCGCGCGAGAGAGCACGCGTGAACCCTAACGGGCGGGTGACGTCGGGCGGTCGGACCCTTACGGGCGCAGCGGGTCGGGTCGGGTCGGGCAGACCTTGGCGGGCGGGTCGAGTCGGATCGGGCGGGCGGGACGCTAAAGTGTGGGGCGCGCTCGAGTGAGCACGCGTCTGGCGCAGCACTGACTGACCCTGGGCCTCAGGAGAGCCTGAGCAAGGGCGGTGTGCATGTGTAGGTCAGGCCGTCTGGGGAGAATTGTACTTCCAGTGCTGCTGATGGAACGCTACGGAGCTCCAGCCAACCGGCCGCGGGCAAGAGGAGCCAGAGGAGAAGAGGAGGAAAAGGAGCAGCAGCAGATTAAATGGACAGGAGCGGGAGGAGGAGAAGAGGGAGAGGAGGGCGAAAACGAACCAAAGCGAAAGCCATCCCGGGCGAAACACCAACCCTGGCGAAACACAAACCCGGGCGAAAATCAACCTGGGCGAAATTCAATCTGTGCGAAAGCCAACCCGGGCGACAGCCAACCCGGGCGAAAGCCAACCCAGGCGAAAGCCACCCCGGGCGAAAGCCAATTCGGGCGAAAGCCAATTCGGGCGAAAGCGAGCCCGGGCGAAAGTCAACCTGGGCGAAAGCCAACCCGGGCGATAGCGAACGCGGGCGAAAGCCAATGGGGAGAAAACAAGCCCGGGCGAAACGAATTGGGCGAAACGAACGTGGCGAAAGCCATTCCGGGCGAAACACATCGTTCCCCTTTTTCAGATTTCCGATCTAGGCCTGGTCGATGTTGCCCGGCCATGGCTTCATGCCAGGCGCGGGGGTGGGCGGGAGAGAGGTATCACGGGGGGACATTGATGGGCGTCTGCTGCGGGGTCGTGAACGCTCTCTGGACAGTGCTGCCTTTTTCGGCTCCTGACCCGCTGGTGCATCTGCCGTACGGTTCCCGCTCTCGCGGTGGGGTGTTCACATCTCGGGTGTGGCTCTACGCCCCTGCAGGGAGGCCCGAGGGGGATGGGATTGTAGGTTCTGTGTATGGCACGCCACGGCTCCAAGGCTTCCCACGATAAATACGAGATACAGATATAGAAAGAGAGAGAGAGAGAGCTAGAAAAAACCAAAACAAAAAAACAAAGACACACAAACAACATCGAGAATCAGTACATAAAGAAAGTTAGCAAGAGAAAGAAAACGGCACGACGACAAACGAAAGGCTCACCAACACGATTGGGGAACGGGCGTCCACAATGGCCGCGAGGCCCGATGGGGCAGGGAGAGAGGGTTGCATCCCCCCCTCCCCCGACCTCCCCCCTCTCCACTCACCCTGCCACCTCCCGCCCCGCCCCCCCTCCTTCCCCGCCCTTCCACCCACCCCCTTGATCCGAAAGGGTCCACCCACCCAACCAGAAGGAACCCTCGCCCTCGGACTTACGGGGAGAGCAAACGCCATAGACCTCAACTTTCTGCGGTCCGCCCGGCTCTCTGTCGTCGAAGAGGGCGCCTGGCCTGAGGAACGGGGCTCCCCTCTGTCGGGGGTGGACAGAGCCCCCAACAGTGACACGTCGACTAGTGGACTGTCCGTCTGCGGTTCTCGAGAGGCCGCCGTGGCCGCTGTTTTCCAGGCTTGCGCCCGCCAGCTTTTGGCCTCAGGTCGTTTTCACTAAATCACGTTTTGCTAAACACCCAGACCCCCGACGTCATGATTTTTTCATTACGTCGACCCCCAGCGGTCTGGACCCATTCCCCAGGACCGGTTTTTCGTCCTGAGTCGTTTTTTGACGGTCCCGAGGGCCGGTAAGGGCCCCCAGAGGCCGAAAATCAATAAGGACCTCCCGTCGTGATTTTTTCATGACTCGAGGGGGTCTGGGAAGGGAGGTCTGTCCACCCCCGACTCCGGCCGAGGCAGTTCACGCACGACCTGGAGCTGGCGGAGTCGGAGAACCGGAGCCTGCGGGAGGCCGTGGCCCTCTTCGAGGAGGCGCCGCCCGGAGGGGCGGGCCCCCGCCGGCCGTGCCGCCCGGCCGAGGCTGCTCACGAGAGAGGCTGCAGAGCTCGGGCCGGAGGGGAGGGGGGGGACTGGGAAAGAGGGGGGGCTGGGAAAGAGTGGGGGGTGGGGGGGGACTGGGAAAGAGGGGGGGACTGGGAAAGAGGGGGGGGACTGGGAGAGAGGGGATTGACTTGGCGTGCCTGCGTCCTGGTTTATCGAGGTCACCAAATTAGGAGGCCACCAAAACGCCCCGTATCCGCAGGGTTGTGGCCCAGGGGCCCGGCCCGCGAGGCCGCGGAACGGACACGTGCTTCGCTCGGGCCGAACGAAAGGGGGGGACTGGGAAAGAGGGGGAGGGACGAAGTCTGCTGCATGCGGCTTGTTTCGGCCCCACCGAGGGGCCCAGTCCTCGATGCATGGCCGCCTCCGGCGCCGGGAGGCGCCGGGAAAGTCAGCCACGTGAGCTGATTCTCGAACCCCCCCTTTGTTATCCCCCCTTTCGCCCAACCCGAAAAGTCGATGTGTGTGTGTGTGTGTTTCTAGGCCTCCCAGATGGGGTCGAAGGATCGCGCCGCATCGGCGATGCATCGCCGATGCATCGCCGATGCTGCTCGATGTGGAGCCCGATTTTCTCCACGCCGACGGCGTCGATGCATCGGCGATGTATCGCCGATGTATCGGCGATGCGGCACGATCCTCCGACACCATCCACTCGGACCCCATTTGGGAGGCCGCTAGTGTTTTCTGGTGGCGTATCATCTTGAGGGCTGACTTGCAAGATGCCCGACAGACTCCTGCCGCGCGCCAGCAGTGGCATCGCCAGTTCTGTTGCACGGACACTGTTGTGTAATGGAGCCCAGTCATGGCGGTGGCACCTTGATGTCAATAGGCCACCGTGCCGTCTGCGGAACGGACAGCGGCTCGATCACCTCAAATGTGTAGTCCTTATTGCAACGAGTGAACCATTAGACGTTGTTCTGCAATCTTCGCTTAGGACCCCAGGCGGATGGATTTCGACATGCATACGTGCCGAATGGGCAGGGCGCGCTTTCAACTTGTTCTGGATCGAAGGCGGCCGCCGCGCTGACGACGAACATGACATGGGCGTTCTCGCTTGCGCACTGTGAAACGTGCCCCAGGTGATCTGGTCTGCTCGCCGCTCCGTTCATTCACAGCTGAGGTTGGTGCGATGGGTACCCGATCACACCTGATTGGTTTCGCGCTAATCGAGCTGCCATTGCGTCCCATGGTCTGCTCAAACATTGAGACACGATCCAGCGCGCTGGTTACGGTCAGTAACAGAGCCCAATGGGCGTGCGTTCGTGGTTCAGGATGTTCCGCTTCTGGGATGGACACCGGGGATGGACATTGCGAATGGGCACAGGCAATGGGCCCCCGGGGTGGGCCCCGGGGGTGGCTGGGGATGGACGCTTGGGATGGTTCCTGGTGGTGGGCACACGCACCGCTTGCGCACCCCTCTCTCCCAATTGGCAACCGCGGGTGCCTGGGGGGCTGCACCGCTCCCCGCGGTTGCACCCGGGCCCCGCGTGTGCGACGAGGCCTCTCTCCCTGCTTCCTCGGCCTCGGCGCGCGCCTCTCGGCCGTCCTGCCCCCCGTGCCCCCGCACGGACGAGACGCAGCGAAGACCGCGCTGGGTTCGGAAGGGCCTCTGGCCTCCGAGCCGTTGCCTCGGCCTGTGTCGGAGGAGCCAGTCGCGGCCGCGCGCCTCGCCGCGGGCAGTGCAGCCCTTGCTGATCTCATCGCGATGGCTGCATCCGTCCCTCTCCCCCACCCCACCCACCCCCCCCCCCTCTCACACCCCACCCTCTTTCCCCACCCCCCCTCACACGGCACCTCCCCCCCCCCCATCCCCCCTCCCCATCTGAATTTTCGTTTCCCGTGTCCCTCACCTGCACAGCTCCTGTTCATGCCCATGTTGCTTTCTCCCCCCGTTCCCCCCCACAGCATCGCTGACCCCGCCCCTCATCGCACCCTCCCGTCATGCCCCATCTCCTCCCACTTGTTCCCCCTTCTCTCCTTTCTCTTTGTGAGCGCCCCTCCGTCCTGCCCTCGCTACCCCGTACGTTCCCTCCACCCACCCAGTCCTGCCATGGTCTTCACCCATCTGCCCCAACCCGCCCCCTTTCCTCCTCACTGACCCCCTCCGTGGCCCCTCTCCTCCTACTCTCTCTCATCATCCTCCTCCTCCTCCTCATCCACTCCTCCTCTCCGGTCATTCCCCCCCTCCCTCCCTTCTCCTCTCCGCCTCCCTGGTCCCTTGGGTTCCGCGGGGTTATTCGGGATGTCTCGAGATTTGACAATTCGTCGCCCCTTGCTTTTATTTCCCAGAGGAGGGATGAGGTCGAGTTTGATGGACCGTTGTTCTGGGTCCTGGGTGTCTAGGGTCTCCCAATGTCTTCTAGTGGTTCCTCCTCGCTCCCTAGGTCAGTCCCAGCTCGTGGGACTCAGCCAGCCGTGCCCACCCTCTACGTCCAGTTTTCGTCGAGATTACCTTGACAGAATCTCGCGGGATCTCGAGCCCAATTGCAATGACAGAAGCTGAGCACGCGCTGTTTTTGATCACTGCGTGATGGCGGAAATCCTGGAAATCCTTCCTCCTTCTCTCCTCCTCTCCTCCTCCCCTCCACGATTACACAGTATGGATACTATTATTATCTCTCCCCTGACTCTGTCCAGAGTTTTTTTCCTGTGTGTGTTTTTTCAATCCGGTCGTTGCTGGTTCTTCCAAAATAGTGTTAACGCTGCAGCGCCGCCCTCATTTCCGCGCTTCGGTCATTCAAAGTCGTGCTCCCGCTGAAGCGCTGGCCTCGTTCCCGCGCCTCTGGACGGCACTTGGCATTCGAAAGTGGTTCCACTTCGTGGCTAAGCTACGGGGGTTGCAGTGGTCATGGTGAACTGCTGGAAAGAACTGTGGCAGTGGGGTGGTGAGGGGGTGGGGGTGGGGGGTGGTGGGGGGGGGGGATGGTTGGGGGGCGGGGCGGGTGGGGGGGGGGAGGGGGGGGAGTGTACATTGTTAGGTGGTGGGAGGGGGGGAGTGTGGGGGGGGAGGGTGGGCGGTGGGGGGGGAGGAGGGGGGGAGGTGGTGGAGTGCATGTGGGGGGGTGGGGGGTGTTGTGATTGGATGGGGGGGGGGGGGAGATCGGGGGGGTGAGAGTGGGTGGGGGGGGGGGGGGGGGGGGGTGGTCGAGGGGGGGTGGATGGGGGCCGAGGGGAGAGGGTGAGGAGAACTACTGTTTGTTTACTACTGTCTGTAGAATTTAATTTTACTTTGTCTTTGTTATTCTTTTTATATGTTTTTCTTGTTTTTTTTTTTTTTCTATTTTCTGTATACGCGACGGGCCACTTACTTTCCAAGTCATTTGGTTCCATGCCACCGCATGCAATGCGATGTTGTGTTGTGCACCGTTGTGCGATGCCATGTTCTGCGTTGCTACGCTTTGTGATGCAATGCTTCAATACGAACTGCCACGCCATGCTATGAATTGCAGTGCTCTGTCGTGTTCTTCTACGCCATGCTTTTGCATCCATCACGTACCCTCTTGGGATCATTGCCCTGCTCGACGTCCGACTGTGCAGATAGACAGGAGACCTGCACCATGGAAAGGGATGGACGCCAGATGTGACGCTAGCGCACCTAGCTTGCACTCCTCCTCCCCCATCCTCCCCCTCTCCCTCCCCCCCTCCTCCACCACATGGCCCGCGCGCGCGGCGCGCCGCAGGACCTCGAGCGGGTGACGGGCCAGAGCGCCCAGGCGCAGCGGCTCGCTTCGGTGGTCACCGTCGTCGTCGTCGTCGTCGTCGCCGTCGTAAGAGGAGGAGGAGGAGGAGGAGGAGGAGGAGGAGGAGGAGGAGGAGGAGGAGGTGGAGGAGGAGGAGATGGAGAAGGGAAAAGAAGCAAGAGGAGCAAGACGAAGAAGGAGGAGGGAGAGGAGGGAAAGAGGCGGGAACGAGGATCTTTGGGGGCATATGGGAGCGGGGAGGAGGGGAAGAGGGAAGAAGAATGAGAGGGAGCGTGAGAGAGGAGTGACACGGTGGATGAGGAGGGGAGGAGAAGGAAGAGGAGGAGGGAGGAGGCGGAGGAGGAGGAGGAAAGGAGGAGGAGGAGGAGGAGGAGGAGGAGGAGGAGGGGAGGAGGAGGAGGAGGAGGAGAGAGCCACCTCCATCCTCGGATCGGTGCGGGCAGGGGCTGCGCGGTGGTGCCTTCGTCGATCCCGCGGGCGGTGCGGGGCAACCGCGCCCCCCCCCGGCGGTCCAGCGAGGCCGAGGCGCTGAGATCGGGCCCAGCTGCGGGCCCAAAAGGGTGGCTCCGGTGTTCGGGCCGCTCCTTTGGCATGGGTCGGGGAGCCTCGTCCTGGCCGAGGCTACCCCTCGGCGGTCCAACGAGGCCGGGGCGCTGAGATCGGGCCCATCTCTCGGGCCCAATGAGGGGCTTTGGTGTTCGGGCCGCTTCGTTGGCCTGGGTCGGGGGGCGTCGTCGTGACCGAGGCTCCCTGAGGCCAGGAACGCCCCAGAACCACCTACTCATGCGAATACGGTTCGTCATCATCATCACCATCATCAGCAGCAGCATCATCATCATCCTCATCATCGGCAGCATCATCATCATCATCATCATCATCATCAGCAGCATCAGCATCAGCATCAGCATCAGCATCGGCATCGGCATCATCATCATCATCATCATCATCATCATCATCATCATCATCATCATCATCACCAACACCATCACCATCACCATCATCATCATCATCATCATCATCATCATCATCATGGTCATGGTCATGATCATGACCAGCAGCAACATCATCACCACTATCACCATCATCAGCATCACCAGCAGAAGCATAAGAATCGTCAGCATCAGCATCATCATCATCCGCATCATCAGCACCATGCCTCTTCTATTCTCTGTGAGCAAGCTCCTGCTGTCTCCGCAGCTTCTCTGCCCAGGTGCCCCCCCGTCGGCCGCGCGCGCGGGCGCCTTATGCAGGCGGTCGCACAAGCGGCTCTCCAGGGCGCTGGGGAGATTTTGTTCAGGGGGCTGCGGGCCGCGCTCTACGAGCGGCTCGTGGCTGCCCCCCTCTCTGTGCTTCAGGACCAGGGGCCTCCATCGCCTGCCTGGTCCATCCAGCAGGCGGACTCGTCCGAAGGTGAGGGGGCCTCCTGCCCTCTCCCTTCGGCGGGTTCCACCTGCCCCACCGTCTGCCTCGGGCTGGCGGTGGACCTGAGCGGCGGGGTCTCTCCCTGGCTGCTCAGCACGGTCGCCGCCCTCCTCTGGGTGACGGCCGCCTGCAGCGCCTGCGCGGGCTGCTGCCTAGGGCTGCTGGGCCCGTACGTGTGGCGGAGGCTCTGGCCCTTCGCCTGGCCGCGCGGCGCGGTTTCTGCTTCACCTGAGCAGGACCGCCGTGCGGCGCGAGCGCTGGCCTACGGGGCTCCGCCTCGACCTCAAGCGCTCGAGCGGGCAGACGCCCAGCGTGCGGGCGGCGGCGTCCACGGCGGCGCCCACTGATGGCGGAGCTGCCACCAGTTGGCGGAGGGCCCCTTTGGCCCGAGCTCTACCCTATCGCTGCGCCCACGGCGCGTGACTACGCACGATGGCGCCTAGACGACGGCGACACCAGCTGGGCGGCTATCCCCCTCGCCTCTCGAGAAGGGGGCATCCTGCTGGGCCACTTTTTTTTTGTTTTTTTTTTTTTTTTTGTTTTTTTTTATTGCCTTTTTTTTTTTTTTTTTTTTTTTTATTTTTTATTTTGGGTTTTTTTTTTTTTTTTTTTTTTTTTTTTTTTTTTTTTTGTTTTTTTTTATTTTTTTTGTTTTTTTTTTTTTTTTTGTTTTGTTTTTTTGCTGGTTGCCTCGGCGTCTTCCGCGAGCTCGAGGCTGCCGAGGCGGATGGCTTTGCTGGGATGATAGGCCCCTTCCAGCTAGTGGACGTCCAGCTCCAGGGGGCCGCTTCACGGCCGCTCGCCACTACCGCATCCGTCTTCGTTATAGATATCGAGGTTGCCGAGCTCGAGCTCGAGTCGCTGTACCCTCTAGAGGTCGGCGACGACGCAGGCATCGTTCCCTTCGCCGAGGTGCGCAGCCGCGTCTATTGGCCGCATCCTTCGGGGGTTCGGGTGCTTCGCGAGAGCTACGCTCGTTTGCACGGCGCCCCGCCTACCGCTGGGGAAGAGCCTCTCCCAGGGGCCGATCGGGCTACCCCCTATCACTCTGCCGACGAGATGGAGGAGCCCGAGGGGTTCGCGGCCGACGGGGAAGCCGACCGCGCGGCCCCATGTGCGCGAGCCCCCGCGGTCGCTGGAGCGCCGCGCGGCCCGCCCGCCAAGCGCGCTGGCGCCGCCGCGCCGCCACGGGTCGCGGGTCCTGCTCCGATTGCTCCTGGTGCTCCTGCGGCGTCTCTGGACGACGGGGCTCCCATGACCCGCGCCGAGGTAGCTGCCGGAATGCGCGCCTTGCTTGCAGCCCACGCGGCCTCCACGATGGTCGGCGGACCCGAACCGCTGGGCCCCGCTCCGGCTGCCCGGAGCGCTCGGCCCGAGGTGCCTCAGCTTTTCAGCGACGAGGCGGCGCGCCTCGGGCTGGATCCTGCGGGGATCGAGGCCGTCTTGTCCCACGCGCCCGTGGCCCCACATCGGGTCTCCGCGCGCCCCAAGGGACCCTCCTCCGCGCTGGTCTCGGCGTGGGAGAAGGCGCGCTCTCTTGCTGTCCCTCGGGCCCCTTCGTCCGCTTCCGGACCGATGGGCCCCCCGCCGCCGCCTGGGCTAGCCCATCCCGCTGCGGTCGACGGCTTTGCCGAGGCGGGCGGCGCCGACGGGTTAGAGCCGCCCCTTGCGGCCAATCCGACGGACTTCAGCCTCATGCTTCAGTGCCTGCACCTGTCCCTTTCCTTGCAGCAGGGGCGGGGCCATCGCCCAGCCTTCCACCCGCTTCTGGGGACCCTGAGCGACCAAGCTCAATCTCCGCCCGCGACCTCGGGCGACCCCGCGCACGCCTCGGCTCAGATGGGGGGAATCGCTCGGAGGCGCGAGTGGCAGCAAGCGCTGATGCAGCACGGCCCCGACGTGCGAGGACTGATGAAGGAGAATTTGGCCCGCGTTCTGGGCGTGGAAGTCAGCGCCGTGACCCCCATGGCCATGCATCAGTACTTTCGCGAGCACAGCCCCCTCGGGGCTCAGCCGTCGACGCACGAGTTGTTGACGCATTTTGACTTCCTCAGCGCCGAGCTGTGGCGGGCCTGCGAGGAGGGCAACCCCGAGAGGGTCCAGACCTTGCTGACTTGCCGGTGCATGTTCATCGACCAGTTGGCGGGGGACCGCGGCTACCTCGAGGCCGCTTGGTTCCTCACGGGGCTGGAGCCTCCCCCGTGTCGCGTGACCAGTCGTCGCACGGAGCGCGAGGCCCAGACCCCGTTTTCACCCCTAGTGGATCCTCGCTGGCTGTCGGCGCAGGGCGAATACATGAAGGAGCTGCAAGCATTTCGGGCGCGCCTCGACGCCGAGCGCGCCGTCGCGCTCCCCAAGCAACCACCTCATCAGCCCAAGCAGCCCAAGGTCTCAAAGCCCCCCTTCAAGTCTCAGGGTGCTCCCAAGGCCCCGAAGGCGGTGCCCAAGAAGGACTGAAGATGCCCTTGGCGCCCGCCTTCTTGGAGGGGGGGCCTTCGCGTGGCCGGGGGACGCCGCCGCAGACAGTCTGCACCGACGCTGCTACGGCTGCTAGGCGTGTTTGGGCGCAGCGAGGGCGTGAGGGTAGGAATGCGCTCCTCCAGCGATGCTGTTGCGGCCCCGCAGGGAGGAGTACGTTCCGCCACCGCGCCCCTCGCTCTGCTCCGAACCGCCCCTCGGATCCTTTCGGCCATTTTGGCCGTCACCTGCCTCAGTCGAGCGCTCCCCCCATGGGGCCTGCAGCCCCTGAGGTTGGTGTTCTTGCTGGTGCTTGTTCTCCTTCAAGCACCCCTGCTGCTCTTGCAAACGTCGCGCCATTTGTCGCTGACTTGTCTGCCTTGCTGCGCCTGTTTCCAGGCGCGAACATTGATGTCACCCACTGGGCGGCAGCGCTGTCCCAGGTTGGGATGGGTGCTCGATGTTCTCTTGGATCTTTCTCCCGCTCATCAATGCGTGCAATGGACAGGGACGACCCGTGCCTTTTGGGGCCGCCTCCCCGCGATCCTTGGCCGTGCCCGCCTGCTCCACCTCTTGGTCCCCCGCCTGACGGCTTGGCGGCGAGGCGCAGGGAGCGCTGGAGATTGCGGCGCGCGGCGCGGACGCTCGCGCAGTATTCTGTTATTGCGTTGAACTGGCTCACTTTGGGTCATCCTAGCCTCGCTCCCGCCGAGGCTCGCGTCCGCGCCACGGTCTCGCCCTGCCAGGAGGGCGTCCGCACCCGTATCGAACGGTTGCGTCGGATCGCAGTTCGCCTTGCCCGCGGCGGCAAGAGCGACTTAGGTCGAGCCTTCGCCAAGTTCGACTCTACTGAGGTCTCGCTCCATGGCCTGGCCACCCATGTTGCAGCTTTGGAGGCCTCCTTCACCTCCTCTTCTTCCGTGCCCGCCCCCATGCGGCACTGCCCGACAGCGCTCCTTCCGTGCCTGGTTCGCTGGCGTCTGCGGCGGCTTGGGACTCCACCCAGGTCGAGCCCTTCGATTTAAAAGTCAGGGCGTCTCGCATTAAGTGGGATTACTCGCCAGTGTTTGATCCCATTCCATTTCTCTATGACGCTCGAGTCCGCGAAGCGTTCATCAATCCAGAGGAGATGCGG